TGTGAATCTCAAGAGTAATGATTAGGTAAACTATATTTTTAACACAATTGAAGAGCACGACACATTATTTTTTGTTGTGGAGGGTGTTACTGATATGTCTGCAATATCAGAAAGGGTGGTAGGAAAAAGAAGAGGGGTTCTTAACTTGCGTGCGTGCGTGTGTGTGTTTTATGGACACTGTAAGAGGCACAACAGTGGCCCCCCACAGATACCCATGTCCTAATCCCTGGGACCTGAGAAAAATGTTACCTTACGTGGCAAAGGGGACTCTGCAGCTTCAGTTAACATTACCCTGGGTTATCTGGGTGAGCCCGGTAGGATCACAAGTTTCCTTGTAAGTGAGAGACGGGGGCTGGATGGTGAGAGAAGATAGAATGATGGAAGCAGATACTGGAGTGATGTGGTCGCTGATGTGAGCCGAAAAACGTGGTCATCTCCAGAGCTGGAAACAGATTCTCCCCTGCAGGAAGGGGCAGCGCCCTGCTGACACCTTGATTTTAGCTTCATGATACCCATTTTTTGGGCTTCTGATCTCCCGATCTGTAAAATAATAAGCCTGTGTTGTTGTAAGCCTCTAAATTTGTGGTAATTTTAACAGCAGCAGTAGGGAACTAACACAGACACCTCTGAGCAATCTGGTGAAACCTATGAATCTCTTTATGGGTTTTTAATAGAGTGATGTGCGTGCCTCTGTATTCATGTGTTAATTGACAGGACAGACCACTTAAAATAGAGACAAGTTAAAATTCAGTCATCTTTTCCATGTTTATCAGTGCGAAAGCTCACTGCTTATGGACCGTGAACTATTCACGTTTCACAAGTTGTACTGTCCTACAGAGGATTAAGAATGGAAATTTGAACTGTCCAGATGTGTGAAACTTTTAAGTTTTCATCCTCTTCTGACTTTGGTCAGCAAACTATTGTAGATGTGGAACACTGGAGAACAAAGCCATTTTCTGAGCATCAATTTGCATGTATGTGATTTCACTATTAACTGCATAACTGTGGGATGGGGGGTGATCCAATAGCTGGCGAGCAGGAGAATTGGATGCAGTCTGGAAGTGGGTTTAATAACTACCAAGAGTTCAAATTAGGCACGGGCATAAATAATATTTGAGATATGTGTGACAACTGTAGCGTGATGTGAACATGCCTGTGCTATTTGTGACAAAGTGACACAGACACCACTAACACTTCTTTTCTACATTGACAATTGAATGCGATACTAAATTCACCGGAAGGCATTTAAAATGATAAAGAGGCGTTTCTTTCCAGTCCAAGTTCGTGGACTCTCTTCCCAGGTTACGGACCACCAGAGCAGAAGCAGAACAGTGAGCGGTTTTATAGATTGTAGCTAGTTGTCTTCCTCGTTTTCACTCTGATTTTTAGGGGAAGGACTGTCTTCTTTATGGAGATAAATGACATTAAAATACACAAAACAAATGGAGCACAGACGGGTCGGTCAGTCCGCTGATGTCCTGCGGCCCTGCGGGTGGAACTTTGAGTGGATGTGGTTAAGGCGTCCGAGTTCTCTTCCTCTTTATTTGCCTTCTTTTTCTTCCTTAATCACAGTGCTTCTTTCCTTGGGGAGGCAGGTAATTCTTTGTTTATTCTTTGATAACGAGAAAATTATGTTCCATGTCGTAAGAAAGAAGTCAGCTGGGAGACAGAGTATGGAGGTTAGGCAGGAGGTTAGATCAGATCATTTGCGCGTTGATATCTGTTAATATGTCACGTGGAAAATGATATTCAGGTGCCTATATTGTCATTTCCTCAGGGGAAGTCATAGAATCTATTTTAGCATGAATATCCCGATGCCTCAAACCAATGCAACATCTGTTACTTAAAGAAATCTGCTGCAGTCAGGGATTGGGTTACGTGGTCCAGTAGACCTTCTACAACTTTAGTGGTTCAGCCTGCCACGGAGAGTACTCTGGGTGCTCTCCAAACACCCACATGGGTGCCCACTGATTTACAGAGCGCAGTGCCCAGGCTCCAAAATTCAGAGAAACAAAATGGACTCGTTTCCCACAACCCTTTGTAGATTTAACGTTGCTCATTTTTCATTAAAAAAAAACCCCTCTTCTCCGTATAAAAATAGTGCTCTTATTTAACTCGCTGTCATGAAGACAAATTGAGCCAGTTGACAGGGTAGTAAAGCAGACCGCTGTTCAAACGTAGTCCGTAAAAAGTCCAGCTACGTTGGCATTTTGCAGGGTTTGCACGAAAGCAAGAGAAATGACAACTTGCTGAAGCGCAAACCAGGCAAAACAGACATCCAAGTTCGAGAGGATGTTGAATCTGGAAGCAAGGTCTGAGCTTTTTCAAGATGACAAGTAAAATTGCCCCTGGATTCTGCTGTGACTGCAGTGGAGTTGGTCCTATTACTCAGCCACGTGGGCCCGAGGTGAGTCTGATGGGGTTTTAGGAAGGCCCCCAGGTGCACTAGGTCACAGTTAGACGCTGCTGGTTACAGTGAAAGTCGCTGGTCATAGCACAGACTTCGGATTAATTTTTAGCGTAAGAAACGCATCAGAAATAGCTAACTGAAACTTTTAGAAAACCGAGGTGAAGAATGTCTTATGTGATTTAAGACTGAAAGGCGGAAGTAATATTCACCATCGAGGGAATATTCCATTTCAAATAACTGATTTTGGGCCTGTAATCTTAGATTTAATAGATTTTCGTATTTCTCTCCTCCCTCACTCACCAGACACTCTCGTTTGTAGCTGTGTGTGTGCACTTGTGTGTTGGAGCTCAAGGAAAGAAGACGTGGATTCATGAACATGAATTTCAGATTAACCGGGGCTCCTAGGTGTACGAAGGACCTACCTTCGTATTGGTCGGCTTGGAGGGTTTTGCAGTGAGTTATCTTCCAGAGCTCTTGGTGGAGGCCACGGAGCTAGGCCAGAGCTCTGTATGCCTCGGGCTGAGTGAGTCCTCGAGGAATCATTCGGAACTCAAAGCCCAGACGCTCCTTGACCTTCACACACACACACACACACACACACACACACACACACACACACACACTACTGATGGCTGTTCGTAGTGGCTCTAGTCGTGCCAGGGACTTGGGAATTCACAGTCACGGACGCGCACCCCGGCTGTGCAGACGCACAGTGTGAGCTGCCCTGCGGGTCTCAGACACCGTGCCAGCACCGAGAACAGGGTGGGGAGTGCGGAGGTTCGGAGGTGACGGATCTGTGATCAGCCTCCAGCAAAAAGAAGAGAAAGAGGCGGGAGATTTCTTGGTTAAAAAAGAAGAAAGCCGTGATTTTCATTTTGATGTGGCTCTTTGACTAGGCAGTGTCAACACGAGTGCCTCGACCTGGTTATGTTAAAATATTCAGCTTTGTCCCTTTTGCTGCTTTTTTGACTTTCCAGTCATTTCTTGGGTCTTTTGGCTGAGGAATTGAATCTTTAATGCTATCTTTTAAAATCTTGTTTAAGCACTTAATATTCGGCAGATAAATCGTGTACATCTACCATGGGTATGAACAGCGTGATGAATATGTTTCCTGCCCGTAAGGAGCCTGAGTTGAAGCTGGAGCTGTAACTAGACAATCTGATCCTACTTCACCCCATGAGACTCTGGGGGCCTCATTTTTAAAGGAGAAGGGAACTAACGTTTACTGAATTCTGATTCACTGTATAATACTTAATCCTTGAACGAATCAGATTTTTCGACAGATGCAGGGTTGAAGACTTCACTGCTTTCTAGATGCATGTCAGTCAAAATACTTAACTTCCCTGAATACCAGTCTCCCGTCTAATAGATTAGTTGAGTTAATAATGTCTACTGCATAGGGTGAACATGAAATAAAGTGATTTAAAATATTGAGCATTCTGTCAGAATTCAGTACATGTTTCCTCTCTTAACATTCTCCCCATTTTACATCAACATTAAGGCCCTTGTCCATCCTTCCCACACGGCTTTCAGGGACAGAGTTCCCATGATGCAGGTATCGTTGGCAACACTGCAAAGAATCGAGTGGGAATAAAAGTGCATCATCAGTGGCCAGGTCTTTCCTTCCCGCCATCAGTGGTCCGGGACACACAGCTCCTGCTGTATCAGGCGTGAGACGATTTAACTGTTAGTTCTGTGCTACTGTCTGCAGGGGTGTTTAATGGCATGATGTGGGTGGGACATCACTCTGTGGGAATAGGGAGCTCCTTTTCATCTACTTTCGGAAATAAAAGTTAAATTTCCTTCCTCTCTTCCCTTTAGACAGCCAAGAATGCTGATTTCACCAATAAAATAGCTAATAATCAGAGCTCAAAAGCAGACATGTCAAAGCTTCCAGACTTAGCAGGAAAAGAAGAACCTAGAATGTTCAGAGGGCGCTTCTGCCTGCCTGGAACCAACCCTGTAGACCCCGAGGGAGGAAGATTTCACGGCAGCCACACTCAGTGTTAGAATTTATTGCATATCTTTGTGCTCAGTAAAATTTATTTCAAAAAGCATATTTAAACACTCTTCTAAAAGAATCCATGTCTGTGATTAAAAACTCATGCTGTAGACTTAAGCTTCCTTAACCCTGTTGCTATTCCTGACAATACACACTTCTGCTCACTGCTTTCAGATCTTTGCGATGACCTTTGTCTCTTTAAATAATAGGCATTTGGGGCTTCCCTGGTGGCGCAGTGGTTGAGAGTCCGCCTGCCGATGCAGGGGACACGGGGTTCGTGCCCCGGTCCGGGAAGATCCCACATGCCGCGGAGCGGCTGGGCCCGTGAGCCATGGCCGCTGAGCCTGTGCGTCCGGAGCCTGTGCTCCGCAATGGGAGAGGCCACAACAGTGAGAGGCCCGCGTACCGCCAAAAAAAAAAAAAAAAAAAAAAAATAGGCATTTGCTTTTATTTGTTGTTTCAACACCCCTAATGGCATCTTTAACACCCATCTTATAAATGGGAGTGTTTCTCTTGTTATCCTGATTCTTGCCTCTTCTTTTCCTCTTCTGCCTTTTTCATCCATGCTTTTGCTTTTCGATTGCTCAGGTCGACGGCAGGTGGAAAAGGGCAGTGGAGGAGGAGGCCTTCAGGTAAGGCAGTCACACAGGTTTCTAAACACAGCATGTCTTCTCTCGCATTTCCGTCCTAAAAAAGAAGTTGAGGATATTTTCCCTCGAACAGAAGAGAGGAGGGAGCTAGCCCATGGTGTTCTAGATCCATATTTCTAATATACTGGGAGAGATGTCGCTGGGATTTTCCTTTAATTTTGATGTCATGGCAGAAAACTTAGATGCCCATCCATCCCTGTCTTTGGATGGGTGAGGGGCACATACTGTAGGAAACCTTGCTTCCTTTGCATCTAACTTCAGGGATAAATTACAGGACGTAACAGACACATCCCTGCTGCTTTTGAGTCAGGGGAACAAAGCCCCTCTGAATGCTCTAAATTCAGGCATCTTGCCCAATTGCAAAGGTGTTGGGAGAGTGAAAGTCCAGGAGAGGGCGCTGCAGGATCAGGGAAAGAACACCAAGGAGTCTATGAAGTACAGGTGTGAGCGGGAAACGAGCAGTGGTGTCCAGGACTCTACAGGCAAGAGAGCGAAGAGCCGACCAGGTGGATCGGGTGCCAGTGGTGAGGCAAGCACGCATGAGCGACCAGAAGTGAGTCTCCCAGGGGAGAGAGCTGTTCTCGAGCCACCTTAAATCCTGTTCAAGAGAACTCTACAGCAGGGAGTGAGCTCCGGGGTCTACAGGGACAGAAGTACCCCCGTGCGTGCCGGAGGAGAATTTACTGCTGCCGCCTCTGTGAGGGGGACCAGTTGTCCCCAGGCTGGAGTGAAGCCCATGAATACCGTGCGAGGACAGGAGCCAGCTGTGGCCACCCGCCCGTGGGAGATAAGGTCACCCCCCCCCGGCCCCCCGCCACCACCTGCCGGGAGAAACCAGCCCCGATGACACTTGTTCTGCTCTTGACGTTTCTTTCTGCCTCTGCTCCAAACCTGCCCAAATCAGAGTTTGAAAATCAGTGGACGGAGAGACAGGGAGGTGGGGAAATAGAACAGACGTTGAATATAGCCCCATGAGAGCCTCCTAAGCTTGTCTCACCCAGGAGAGGCAACAGCTTTTAACTTTTTTTTTTTTTTTTTAGCATTTGTTTATTTATTATTTTCTTTTTAAAAGTATTTACTGTGAGAGATTTTAAACATAGGCAAAAGTGATTCCACTTCCAGTAATGAACTCTCATACTTATCACAAAGTATCAACAATTGTTAACGTTTTGCCAGTCTAGTTTCATGTATTCCCTCCCCCCCATCTTTTTTG